TGTACATCGATGATATTGTAGTGCTCGCTGATTCCTGGAAGGATCACGTGGATCGACTTTTAGATTTGTTTGATCGGTTGGAGAAGGCCAACATGACGATCAACTTAGCGAAAAGCGAGTTCGGGAGAGCCCGCCTGGAGTACCTTGGATATATAGTAGGGCAAGGCGAGGTTGCTCCGGTAAGAACAAAGGTGGAGGCCATTGACAACTTCCCAGTACCCAGGAGTAAGAAAGAATTGTTGAGATACCTCGGTATGATTGGATATTATCGGAAGTTTTGCGAAAATTTCTCCACCATAGCCGCTCCTATGACAAGTTTGCTGTCAAAGAGCAAGAAGTGGGAGTGGAATGGAACAGCACAAGAAGCGTTTGAAAAGACCAAAAGACTGTTGACCGAGGCACCTGTACTAGTGTCGCCAGATTTTGGAGCGCCGTTTACGTTATTTGTAGATGCCAGTGATATAGGGGCCGGAGCTGTACTGACGCAGCAGAATGATGGAATTTACCGCCCCGTGTCCTTCTTCTCGAAGAAGTTTGTTAAGCACCAGAGGTCGTACAGTACAGTCGAGAAAGAGACTTTGGCCCTGGTGATGGCATTGAAACATTTTGAAGTGTATGTGAATGGGGGAGGACACCCAGTGACGGTGTATACGGACCATAATCCCCTAGTTTTCCTGAGGAAAATGAAGCATGCAAACCAGAGATTGACCAGATGGTTTTTATTGCTCCAAGAGTATGACCTGGTGATAACGCACATAAGAGGGCGAGACAACGTATTGGCTGATGCATTATCTCGAGCCTAGCCACTAGAATAATTCTCAAAAACAAGGGGGAGGGAGTGTTATGATCCCAGGTAGCCGAAAAAAACGAGTCTCCCCTTTGAGAATTATTCAATCAAGCCTGACCTGACTAGGAGGTCGGAAATACAGACTTGAAGATTCATATGTAAAAATAACTGGGTAAATTTTACATGGAGTTTAAGATTATGGGCAGTGCATAAGGAAACAGATAAATGACTCGTTAGGAGATGTGGATAATTTGCTGGAGGCGTGAGGCTCGCTTCTGGAGGGCTTTGACCTCACTTGAGGCCAGACATCGCAGGGGGAAAGCCGCGCTCCGTTGAGCTCCTGTCAGAAAGGAACCCAGGGTGATATATCTCCAAGAGAAGAGAAGTATGCAGACGTGCCAGCTGTAGAATCGAGCTGGGAACGTTGTGGTCTCAAGTTCTGGTCAACGAGGAGAGTATTAAGCCGCCCAGAGACATTTTCGTGGGCTGTGGAAGCGCCCTGACCAGGCTCTGTCAGAGGGAGGAGCGCCCTCGACTAGACAATCTGTGGTTTGTCTTTGGGGAAGAAGTTGCTGAGAACTTCGAAGCCAGCACAAAAGGAGTAGTTGATGAGACTCCAAGGTAGTGGAGCAGAGGACCTCGAGCTGTGAGGAGAAGCAGTGAAGAGGAGTGTCACGTGCTTCTGTAGAGGTGGTGAAGCACCATAGTTGCTCGAGGGAACTTCATGGTGTAGCAGCCAAGAGAGCTGTGGAGGAACCTAGCAGAAGGGTGAAGCACTGTAGTTGTGAAAAGAAACTTCATGGTAGCAGCCTGGAGGAGCTGCAGAGGATCCTGGTAGTTAAGCCTGGAAGAACCTAAAGATATCAGGGTAGTGAACTTCCAGATGTGGAAGGGAAGTTCTGGTGGATTACTTGTAGGGAGTTGATAGTGTTTGGTTGTCATTAGTGTGCAAGACACAGTGAGAGGTGAGTGATTGTTTGCATTCTTATGTCAAGGAGTGTTTTATACTGAAGTTTAGAGTTACAATCGTAGGCTGGATTACCTACAGATGTATGTGTTTTAGGACTGATAGAGTGATCGATTGATCATTGTTGTGTATCAAGGAACATTTATACTGATATATGTTATTGCATTCACATGCTGATTTTCTTGGTACACATTTATATATATATATATTATATATATATATATATATATATATATATATTATATATATATATATATATATATATATATATATATATATATATATATATATATATATATATATATATATATATATATATATATATATATATATATATATATATATATATTCTCTTGCTGATAGTGCAATGTTGTAGTATAAGACTTGATCAACTTTAGGAGGTTGATAGTATCAGGTGGTGAATCAGAAGATAGGATACCACTTGGTAAACTGATAATAGAGTTCTGATGGTGTTGGAGAGCAACCTGATTGTAATAGTATAGAGTATAGGATTCATTATTATTATATGTGTGTATGTATTGTGTATGTGCTTTGTCCAGTATATGTATTTCAATTTGCTGGTGTTTGCCCTTGTCCTAGTGAGGTTTCCCATTAAATAGTACAGAAGAAGAGAGAGAGAGAGAGAGAAAGAACCAAGAACCACTGCTGTGGACAGGGTAGAAGGTAATACTAATGAGTCAAAGGGGGATTGAGGAGATCATATCACCTAAGGAGAGAGTGGGGAGTTACAGCGGCTTGAGTGGGTGTGTGCACGTGACAATGAGGCTAAGTGTTGGAGCAGCATCCCCTAAACGTGTGACGTTGAGCCCCTCTCCAAGAGCCAGAAGTGCCTAGTGTGGTCTCCTAGTGAGGTATAAGCGCACTACCGAGTTGTGGGTTGGGTTGTCCGTAAAGGGGGAACGACGACAACAACACCAACCAACACACAAAACTATAATACCACTTACTGCTGAGTGAAGAAACCCATTATGTAAAAGGAAATGATCCCAATCATTTCTCGCCCGCCCAGGATACGAACTCGGAATTCTCGATAGTGAATGAAGAACGAACCCAACTATACTACCGGGACCTTCAAATATACACTCTGAATTCCTATCCCATGACACAAATAATTATTATTTTAATTATTATTTCAAACTTTGTCAGCAGAAGTAGGAAGGTCCTTTCTTGGTTTGCAATGCAAACTAAATCCATTGTAATAGTCATGTTTTTAATTAAAAATATCACAGCACAAGAGTATATTATTTTATTAATTAATAAATATATATATAAACTAATAAACTACTAAACATGATAAATAAGTCAATAAGCAAGATGTATTTTTGTAACACTATTTTAACTAGCATATTAACTAGCTTCACCCACAATGTCAAGCTACCTAACTTAGCTCATCCCAACCCATCCCAGCTAAACCTAACCCAACCCCAACCTAACCCAAGTAATGTGAGAGTGACCTACCCACATCGACAGTAATGTGAGAGTGACCTACCCACGTCAGCAGTAATGTGAGAGTGACCTACCCACATCAACAGTAATGTGAGAGTGACCTACCCACGTCAGCAGTAATGTGAGAGTGACCTACCCACGTCAGCAGTAATGTGAGAGTGACCTACCCACATCAGCAGTAATGTGAGAGTGACCTACCCACGTCAACAGTAATGTGAGAGTGACCTACCCACGTCACCAGTAATGTGAGAGTGACCTACCCACGCCAACGGTAATGTGAGAGTGACCTACCCACATCAACAGTAATGTGAGAGTGACCTACCCACATCAACAGTAATGTGAGAGTGACTTACCCACGTCAGCATTAATGTGAGAGTGACCTACCCACATCAACAGTAATGTGAGAGTGACCTACCCACATCAACAGTAATGTGAGAGTGACCTACCCACATCAACAGTAATGTGAGAGTGACCTACCCACATCGACAGTAATGTGAGAGTGACCTACCCACGTCAGCAGTAATGTGAGAGTGACCTACCCACATCAACAGTAATGTGAGAGTGACCTACCCACGCCAACGGTAATGTGAGAGTGACCTACCCACGTCAGCAGTAATGTGAGAGTGACCTACCCACATCAACAGTAATGTGAGAGTGACCTACCCACGCAAAGAGTAATGTGAGAGTGACCTACCCACATCAACAGTAATGTGAGAGTGACCTACCCACGTCAGCAGTAATGTGAGAGTGACCTACCCACAACAACAGTAATGTGAGAGTGACCTACCCACATCAGCAGTAATGTGAGAGTGACCTACCCACGTCAACAGTATTGTGAGAGTGACCTACCCACGTCAACAGTAATGTGAGAGTGACCTACCCACGTCAACAGTAATGTGAGAGTGACCTACCTACATCAGCAGCAATGTGAGAGTGACCTACCCACATCAGCAGCAATGTGAGAGTGACCTACCCACATCAGCAGTAATGTGAGAGTGACCTACCTACATCAGCAGCAATGTGAGAGTGACCTACCCACATCAGCAGCAATGTGAGAGTGACCTACCCACATCAGCAGCAATGTGAGAGTGACCTACCCACATCAGCAGTAATGTGAGAGTGACCTACCCACATCAACAGTAATGTGAGAGTGACCTACCCACGTCAGCAGTAATGTGAGAGTGACCTACCTACATCAGCAGCAATGTGAGAGTGACCTACCCACATCAGCAGTAATGTGAGAGTGACCTACCCACGTCAACAGTAATGTGAGAGTGACCTACCCACGTCAACAGTAATGTGAGAGTGACCTACCCACATCAGCAGCAATGTGAGAGTGACCTACCCACATCAGCAGCAATGTGAGAGTGACCTACCCACATCAGCAGTAATGTGAGAGTGACCTACCCACATCAACAGTAATGTGAGAGTGACCTACCCACGTCAGCAGCAATGTGAGAGTGACCTACCCACATCAGCAGCAATGTGAGAGTGACCTACCCACATCAGCAGTAATGTGAGAGTGACCTACCCACGTCAACAGTAATGTGAGAGTGACCTACCCACGTCAACAGTAATGTGAGAGTGACCTACCCATGTCAGCAGTAATGTGAGAGTGACCTACCCACGTCAACAGTAATGTGAGAGTGACCTACCCACGTCAACAGTAATGTGAGAGTGACCTACCCACGTCAACAGTAATTTGAGAGTGACCTACCCACGTCAGCAGTAATGTGAGAGTGACCTACCCACGTCAACAGTAATGTGAGAGTGACCTACCCGCCGAGCCTGGTCGACCACGTGGGGGAGCTGTGTCAGTGTCACGTTAGCGTCCTGGCCGTCCGCTGCCACCTCCCATACTGACACACTCCAAGAAGTCCAAAGATCAACTTGCTATAAGATAAAATCTAATTAAAGTATTATAGTTTTTTAATTTGTTACAATTAATTTTCTTTGAATTCGGTAATGTATGTATTATGCCTGTAATTTACTTTATTCACAAAGGCTGACTAAATAAGACATTTCCTGCCAACATGTCACGCCTCTCAATGAATTCTATCATTCCTTGTGATGATGTGCTGAAATTTACACATATGTATGTATATAATTGTAAATATGCCCATATATATATATATATATATATATATATATATATATATATATATATATATATATATATATATATATATATATATATATATATATATATATATATATATATATATATGTCGTACCTAGTAGCCAGAACGCACTTTTCAGCCTAATATGCAAGGCCCGATTTGCCTAATAAGCCAAGTTTTTTTTAATTAATTGTTTCTCGACTACCTAACCTACCTAACCTAACCTAACCTAACTTTTTCGGCTACCTAACCTAACCTAACCTATAAAGATAGGATAGGTTAGGTTAGGTAGGGTTGGTTAGGTTCGGTCATATATCTACGTTAATTTACCTACAATGAAAAAAAATTGACCTCATACATAATTAAATGGGTAGCTTTATCATTTCATAAGAAAAATATTAGACAAAATATATTGATTCAGGAAAACTTGGCTTATTAGGCAAATCGGGCCTTGCATAGTAGGCTGATAAGTGCGTTCTGGCTACTAGGTACGACATATATATATATATATATATATATATATATATATATATATATATATATATATATATATATATATATATATATATATATATATATATATATATATATATATATGTCGTACCTAATAGCCAGAACGCACTTCTCAGCCTACTATGCAAGGCCCGATTTGCCTAATAAGCCAAGTTTCCATGAACTAATGCTTTTTCGACTACCTAACCTACCTAACCTAACCTAACCTAACATGTTTTCACCTTCATTGTATTATCACCTGACTTAATGCGGGTATAAAATCAACTAATATATATATATATATATATATATATATATATATATATATATATATATATATATATATATATATATATATATATATATATATATATATATATATATATATATATTTATATATATAAAAATATATATATATGTATATATAAAAATATATATATGTATATATATATATATATATATATAATATATATATATATATATATATATATATATATATATATATATATATATATATGTCGTACCTAGTAGCCAGAACGCACTTCTCAGCCTACTATGCAAGGCCCGATTTGCCTAATAAGCCAAGTTTTCCTGAATTAATATATTTTCTCAATTTTTTTTCTTATGAAATGATAAAGCTACCCATTTCATTATGTATGAGGTCAATTTTTTTTTATTGGAGTTAAAATTAACGTAGATATATGACCGAACCTAACCAACCCTACCTAACCTAACCTAACCTATCTTTATAGGTTAGGTTAGGTTAGGTAGCCGAAAAAGTTAGGTTAGATTAGGTTAGGTAGGTTAGGTAGTCGAATAAATATTAATTCATGAAAACTTGGCTTATTTGGCAAATCGGGCCTTGCATAGTAGGCTGAGAAGTGAGTTCTGGCTACTAGGTACGACATATATATATATATATATATATATATATATATATATATATATATATATATATATATATATATATATATATATATACATATGTCGTACCTAATAGCCTGAACGCACTTCTCAGCCTACTATGCAAGGCCAAATTTGTCTAATAAGCCAAGTTTTCATGAACTAATTGTTTTTCGACTACCTAACCTACCTAACCTAACCTAACCTCACTTTTTCGGCTACCTAACCTAACCTAACCTATAAAGATAGGTTAGGTTAGGTTAGGTAGGGTTGGTTAGGTTCGGTCATATATCTACGTTAATTTTAACTCCAATAAAAAAAATTGACCTCATACATAATGAAATGGGTAGCTTTATCGTTTCATAAGAAAAAATTAGAGAAAATATATTAATTCAGGAAAACTTGGCTTATTAGGCAAATTTGGCCTTGCATAGTAGGCTGAGAAGTGCGTTCTGGCTACTAGGTACGACATATATATATATATATATATATATATATATATATATATATATATATATATATATATATATATTATATATATATATATATATATATGTATATATATATATATATATATATATATATATATATATATAATATATATATATATATATATAATATATATATATATATACTCACTTCTCAGCCTACTATGCAAGTCCCGATTTGCTTAATATATATATATATATATATATATATATATATATATATATATATATATATATATATATATATATATATATATATATATATATATATATATATATATATATATGACAATGTCAGACCACGGAGGAAAAATGAAACAGGAATTTCCTTAAGTACTTTCGTATATTAAATACATCTTCAGAAGGTCATTATACAGATCGAGTGATGGGTATAAATAAACAGGAGCTTTTCAGCTTTTTGTGCATTTGTCAGCTTTTTCTGACAAATGCACAAATAAAGCTCACCAAATTGATTGGGAGAGTGCTTCTTCAATAACAAATTGTAAAAGCACCTATAACAGAAACATAATTGAATCTGCTTTGATACAGATCACCAAAGAAAGTAATTTGAATATTAGCAGTGGTCTATATAACTCAGATCCATTTCTAATAGATCAGCTAAAGGGCGATTTAAGTAGGATCATTGAAAAACATTGTCTCACTAATTTATTGTATATATTTACCTCTTTATGTTATAATTACCTATGTATTATGCTTGTATGTCTGCTGTATCAGATGGGCCATTGGGCTACATCGGATGGGCCAATTGGGTGCATCTGATGGGCCAATGGGCCGTCTGCGTTGTCCAAGTATTGTACCTCACCTTACTTCACCACTCTCTCCTGCCTATTTATACCCATCACTCGATCTGTAAAATGACCTTCTGAAGATGTATTTAATATACGAAAGTACTTAAGGAAATTCCTGTTTCATTTTTCCTCCGTGGTCTGACATTGTCACATTCTTAATGACGTGTTTATTTTCGTGATATACACACGAAAATAAATATACAGTGTTGCACAACCAGGTTGCGCTGCCACCCACAGGGAAGCAGCCAAATCCCGTAGGTATAGAGAACTGGATCACCATTAGAATTTTGTCCCCATTGCTTCTGAGACACTTGGCGCCTGGGGTAAAAGTTCTACCAGTTTTTTGAAGGAACTGGGTTCTAGGCTCATTGAAACAACAAGGGACCCAAGAGCTGCCAGCTTTCTTTTCCAGTGCCTCAGCGTGGCGATACAGAGGGGAAATGCGCACTGCATCCAGGGTTCCTGCCCGCCATCTGAGGAGCTGGAGGAACTCGAGAACCTATGATAACCATCTTTGTAACCTATATGTAACTCCTTTTTTGTAACAAAGTTCAAATAAAGCAAATATATATGTGTACATACAAAAGAATGGGGGTAGTAGGAGAAGATAATATTAGTGTTCAGTGAGAAACCACAAGGTCTCCTCTGAATACTTTTTATTTTCTTCTCCGAGGCTATGGGTCCCACATTCGCACCAGAGGTGGTACCCTCAAAAACTTTTATATATATAATATATATATATATATATATATATATATATATATATATATATATATTATATATATATATATATATATATATATATATATTATATATATATATATATATATATATATATATATATATATATATATATATATATATATATATATATATATATATATATATGTGTGTGTGTATATCACGAAAATAAACACGTGATATGTGACAATGTCAGACCACGGAGGAAAAATGAAACAGGAAATTTCCTTAAGTACTTTCGTATATTAAATACATCTTCAGAAGGTCATATATATATGACCTTCAACACAACCAGTTGTGTTGACCTTCTGAAGATGTATTTAATATACGAAAGTACTTAAGGAAATTTCCTGTTTCATTTTTCCTCCGTGGTCTGACATTGTCATATATATATATATATATATATATATATATATATATATATATATATATATATATATATATATATATATATATATATATATATATATATATATATATATATGCTTGTTCGCATTTGTGTTCCTCACGTGTGCCCCAAAGAATGAGGTGATTTGGTAAAATGCTATGCCCAAGATTACTATCCGAGTGCCGGCGGTGGGGTGGTTCAAATAGCTTAGGCTATCACCTCATTATGTCCGGTCGTGATGGTCAAGTGGATTAAGGCGTCTTGTACATACCAGTTGTGTTGCTTCTGGGAGTATGGGTTCGAGTCACGTCTGGGGTGTGAGTTTTCAGTTGCATATTGTCCTGGGGACCATTCAGGCTTGTTCGCATTTGTGTTCCTCACGTGTGCCCAAAGAATGAGGTGATTTGGTAAAATGCTATGCCCAAGATTACTATCCGAGTGCCGGCGGTGGGGTGGTTCAAATAGCTTAGGCTATCACCTCATTATGTCCGGTCGTGATGGTCAAGTGGATTAAGGCGTCTTGTACATACCAGTTGTGTTGCTTCTGGGAGTATGGGTTCGAGTCACTTCTGGGGTGTGAGTTTTCAGTTGCATATTGTCCTGGGGACCATTCAGGCTTGTTCGCATATATATATATATATATATATATATATATATATATATATATATATATATATATATATATATATATATATATATATATATAGCTCCCCATGCAGGTGACTTCCTATTAGTAATCCCAATATCAGCAACCGGCACCACGTCTCACACCGCAGGCCCTCCGAATTTCCATGGCTTTCCACCTCGCTGCTCCAATCCACACCAAATACAGGTGTATTTGAGGAGAGGCAGAGGCCGACAGGTACGGACGGTATGGCCTCTCTGCCAACGGACAAGAGGATTGCATGCAAGACACGGCGAGGTTAACTACATCATTAACAGAAGCTTTTCT